TGAAGAAATTAGATTACTTTCATTCTAGATTTTTTTTGGCAAAGTGAAAACCAAAAAAGGAAGTATCGCCTTGCCAAGTGGAGCATACTTTGTCAGCCGAAGGATCTGGGGGGTTAGGAATTCATGATCTGGATACTTAGTAAATGGCTTTTCAAACTACTTACGATCGATGAGACCTGGCAGCAATTTATCTGAAATAAATATTTAGGTCCTAAACCTTTATCTCAAACTTACTGGAAAAGTGGGGACTCACATTTTTGGGCTAGTCTTATGAAAATGAAACAAGACATTCTACGTTTTGGATCTTTCACAATCAAAGATGGGTCGCAAATAAGATTCTAGGTGGACAAGTGGTTAGGAAATGTGTCTTTGTGCGAACAATATCCTTTCTTATACAACATTGCTAGACACAAGCAACACACTGTAGCTGAGGTCTTTAGTCCGTCTCCTTTAAACATTTCATGGTGGTGTGATCGAATTGGGCCTAAGTTACTAGCCTAGAATGAGCTTCTTCCTCGCATTGCTAATATCACGCTAACAAGAGCAAGATGAGTTTCGCTGGGACTTGGACTCGAAGGGCCAATTCTCGGTTAAATCACATTATTCGGCTTTGATTCACCCAGAGGTTCCCAACTTAAATAAGACCATTTGGAAGATAAAGGCCCCGCTGAAGATAAAGATTTTTCTCTGGTACCTTCGAAGGGTAGTGATTCTAACAAAAGATAACTTAATTAGCCAAACACAGTTGGCAAGGAAGTGAAATGTGATGCTTTTGCCACAAAAAATGGGACAATTAAGCATATTTTCTTTGAATGTCGCTTTGCACGTGCGATTTTGAGTTGCATACATGTTGCTTTAAACCTTCCTCAACCACGTAGTATTTCTCACATGTTTGTGAGTTGGCTAAATGGGTTTAGGAGGGATTTAAATCCTTTACTGCTGCTAGGGGCGGCAGCTACTTGTTGGTCGCTTTAGTTATGCAGATATGATTTGGTATTTGAAAAAAAAATTGTTTATTCTCCTTTGCAGGTGGTACATTCGGTTATTCATTGGCTCTGCACATGGGTTATCCTTCAGAAGTTCTCTGTGCATGCTTTGGTTACGGCAGCATCGCAACACTTACGCAAGCGATCACAGTGTTTTTCTCCCGGGCGCATGGGTGGAGGATTGATTATCATTAGTGTGCCAGGCTTTCCTTTTGTTTTTGTTTTGCTCAGGCTGTGTGCACTTTTCGCAGAAGCCGGAAGACTTGTATCTACTCGATGTAAAGATCGTGATTTAATAAAATCCTCCCTTTATATAAAAAAAGTCAATCTACACAAATCGATTAGATGCTTTTCCTATACGGAAAAGCTACCGCGCGTTCGGTCGCGCTGCTGGTGGAGCGCGCGACTCTTTGGCCCACGCGACTGGAGTACTTGGTGGCCCGCGTTTTGCTGATCGGTGCATCCGCAGGTTTTCTTGACCCGTCGGCGTCGGAGGTTTCCTTTGGCCCGTCGGCGTCGTGTTGGGCTGGCTGTCCGTGGCAGACAAAAAGCCAATAAAGATGCTAATTGTCAAATGGGCTGCAACTAGACAACCGTCCTTGTTTTTTTTGTTTTTTCATTTTGTCTAATTTTGTTTTTAGTTTATATTTCTCAATTTAATTTTTTATTGATTGCCAATTTCATTATTTCAGTTTTTTTGTTTTTTTATTCTCAGTTTTTTGAGTTTTTTTATCTTCAGTATATTTCTTTTTAGTTTCAGTTTTGAGTTAGTTTTTTAATGTTTTTTTAGTTTCGGTTTTTAGTCACCCTTAGGTTCGAATACCTTCCTAAATCCTGCATATTAGTTGCCTCACCTACAATGTATAACTTGCCACAAAAGGGTAGCCTTGCACACATAAGTTGCCACAAAAGATTTTTTTTTTTTTTGAATTTTCAATTTTCAGTCAAGTTTTTTTAATGTTTTTTAGTTTTAGTTTTCAGTCATCCTTTTAGGTTCGAATGCCTTCCTAAATCATGCATATTAGTTGCTTCACCTACGTTGTATAAGTTGTCACAAAAGGGTAGCCATTGCACACATAAGTTGCCACAAAAGAAAAGCACATACACATACAAGGTAGATTGGGTTGGGATTAGGGGTCACAACAAATATTAGGACTAGAGGTTACAGAAATTATTAGGAATAGGGGTCGTAGATTGGGTTATATAATAACTTGCCCCCCAAGTTGGCAGCTTATTTTATGCTTATTTAATCATTTGCATCTCAAGTTGTACAACTATAGTATTACATGATAGCAACTTTAGTATTTCTTTTAGTTTTTTTTGCCCCCGAGCTTGTGCATACTATATAACAACTTTAGTATTTTTTTGAGTAGAAACTTTAGTATTAGATGGTAGTAACTCATTTGATAAATCTCCTAACATGTATTATACATAATTTGCTAATAAAAAAAATATTTCGAAACATGTGCAGGTGAGATCTAGTTTTGTTCGTCTCATCACATATAACACATCGACGGAATTTAAAATAGATGCACCAATCAAAAGTTACAGTAGTTTGAAAGAAAATATTTTGCTTTTTTGCATCAGCTTGCATACACCCAATGGACACAGAGCGGGTGGAGGAGAGTGGGTCCGCTTGAGACACATGCGCATGCAGGGATGTGGGACAGGGTAGCGGGCTCGTATTTTATTTTCAAAACCGGAAAAGTGGAGGGGCGCCGGGCGTCGTTTCCTAAAACGGAAAGGGAGTACGGGGTCGTCGCGCGTTTCGCTTTATGTCGCGCTTTATCCTGGTCCTTTCCTATAGTGCTTCTTGGCTAGTTGGCTATGTGTTAGTTTCATATGCCAGCTCCAAAATAAGACGGCCCGGCCCGTTCATCTCGACAGCACCAGGCCCAGATCAGCGGCCCAAGTCTCCCAGCTGACGGGTGAAAAAAAAAAATCCACACCAAGACAAGTCCGGGCCCGTTCATCTCCACATAACCAGGCACAGACTGCTGACGGGTCAAAAAGGAAAAGGAATTCAAGAGGGAGGCGTCTCATCCTCCCTAGTCCCTGCTCCGATCCATCACTCTCCTCCTTCCTCTCTGTAGCTATGGCTCGGGACGCGAAGGAACCTGCCGACGAAAGAAGGAAGCGGGCTAGGCAGGAGGCGCCGGATCTCGCCTCGTCTGCGAGGATGACGCGCGACATGGCCAGGAGGATGGCCGCGGCGAAGCTGCTTCAGCACGCAGGGGCAGTGGCGCAGCTAGGATTCGTAGCTATGGCGCGGTCCATTACTAAAATTTTGTTTGACCCGTAAAGACGGCGCACAAGTATATAAATTATGAAACACAACTAAGATAAAAAGGACATATAAACCTCGTAAAATAGAGGACTATATCTTTTATAACGTAGAATTTAGCTATATTACGTACCTCTAATAGTTGAAGTATAGTATGCCACTGCTTCTTTGATGCATAATTTTGAAAAAGGGAAACAATATCACCACTCCTCTTCATGTTTCAACAAATATACAAGAGAATTATATAACATTTCAATGGCAGCACCTCAGCAGGCTAATTGCCTTTGGCTTAGCAGCTGTCAATTTTGTCTTCATCTCGAGATTTAGATGCACATATCAGCTGGGCATGCAAATTAAAAGTTATAGTCGTCGTGGAGTCTTAGATGAAATATTGATGCGCCTCCGCCATTCCATCTCCGACAAGTCGCGCCCGCTCATCTCCACATAACATGGCACAGATGCTGACGGAGAAGAATAGAAAGGAATTCAAGAGCGAGGCGCTCATGAATCCCTGTCCCTGCTCTCATCGATGGGCGATGCCTCTCTGAAGCTATGCGCTCGGGAAGGCGAGGGGACACTGCCGATCTCTCCAGTCCCAACTCTACCGATGAGCTTTGGTTGGGTTGAGCGCAGGGTGGTCCACGGACCACAGGGACCACCCTGTAGCTCCGCACCTGCGCCGGGGAGGAGGCTGTCGAGGGTAGTGCTGCCGCGGTGGACGATGGGCCACCGGAGCTCCGGCGGGCTGACGTCGCCAAGGTGAGGAACTACTCTTTTCTGTTTCTTTCTCGCCTTCATTTCTTTCGCGTTCACGCCTTCCTTCATGGCCCCACCCACCGGCCACCACAAATAAACGGCCCTGGCCTCCTATCTGATTGATCTGATGGCGTCAGCAATCGCGAGCTTTCTTCCAACTCACCCACCGCAAATAATAAATTTCCCCGGATCGAGCCAGCTGGAGCTGCCTATGTAAATGCTCACTGAAGCACAACACAAAACACACAACCACCTGAAGCCCTAGGCTTCTTGTTAGGCGCATACATAGCTGCCGATCCATGGCTGCAAACGACGATGAGGCGGCGCGTCCTCGGAGCACACCGGCGACGACGTAGGTGCGAAACGGAAAACCGTTTCCTCGTGGCCTTGTTTGTCTTATTTCAGTATCAGAAGATAGGACCAAGTGATCAACGATGTTTGTTTCTTCTGCATGCGTCCAGAAGGTGGCCAGCAACAGCCAACAATAACTGGCCTTTAATTTTCACCAAGCTTTTTCTGTTGCCGTTTCAAACAAAAAAAAAGAGATTTTTTTTTGTTGTTGCATGTAGCTAGAGAGCAAAGACCACATTTTTACTAAATAATAACAACTCCAAGTAGGCATGCGTCACTTTACCCAAACTTTATAGTAGTCCTTTCTGTTTCGCTAACCTCCATATTTAAAATGATTCTTCAGTATATATCTCTATCTTTATCTCTACCTCTATCTAATATTAAAGAGTAAAATGTTTTTCTTACAATTTATTTTCTTTTACCATGTTTTTTTTTAATTTTCTGAACTGTCTTTGTACCCACAACATCTCGTCATCTCGTAGGTGACTCGTGGTTATAAAAGTTAAAACAATGACTCGCATCTAGCGATAATACATCCAGTGCTTTCACCCTTGCTCTATATATACAAGTTTACGTCAAGTTTAGTAAAATTCAGGATTCTATTGCTAGACCAAGCTGGCCCGATGGGCATGCCGGGCCTGCTCGGGCCAGACTTTTTCAAATATAGGGTTGGTTCTTTTTTCTTTGGCTTGGCCATTTCAGGTCAAAGATTGGGCCCCCAATCTGATCTGATGGTCGTAGAAGCTGAAAATCACAGATCTTTCTGCCTGATGTAATGTTCAAGTTGGTGTTCGGTTAGATTTGTACGACGTTCTTTTTCTTGCTAAGTGAAGGATGCGAGATTGATAATCCTGTTGCACGTATATATACAGGTGATGCTCGTCGCCGGTGCATCAGAGAGGGACGCCGCCGCGTCGTGGTTGGAGTCGGCGACCGACAAAGTGGCTAAGAGCAAGAACGCGAGCTACTACTACTTGCTTCATTACCTGCTGCCGTGCCTAGCGGAGCTCAACAAAGAGCAGCAAGCTGAGAAGGAGGTGGAGGCCAACATAAAAGGTACGGTGGTACATATATGTACATCTCCGTAAGCGACTTGCATCGAGCTAATAATTCAACTCCTGTCATCAATATACTCTGTGCAGGGGTTTCATTGTCCAAGCTGAGCGTACAACCGGCAGCCTATAACAAAGAGGAGAGGGTGACCTGGTAAGTGTACTCCATCAGTCCCAAAATGTTTGACTAGGTTTATAGAAAATTTAAAAAAAATCTTAAATTTGACTAGGTTTATAGAAAATTTAGCAAAATTTGTATCTTTAAAAAAGTTTATTATCAAATAGATTCAACGATCCATCTAATGATATTAATTATGTACTATAAATATTAACATTCTTTTATATACATTTGGTTAAAGTTAAAAATATTTGACTCCTCGGAAAACGAGAACATCACTTATTTTGGGACAGAGGTAGTATATTCCTAGAGCAGCATGCATTAATTAGAGTTCGAGGCCCTCCCATGTTTCACTATTAGAGATGGTTCATCTCAACCAGTTGGTAAGGCCCTATCACCGTAGGTTTTACTATTTGATGGTTAAAGTCAGCAGTGATAACAAAAACCTCCTACTATATGATGGTTAAAGTCAGCAGTGATAACAAAAACCATCACTGCAGGTTAGAAACCGACAGCGAATAAAAAATAAAATATAAAAAATGACACACTGTTGTCGCTTGGAAGCCCATTGAGCCTGCCACCGCCATAAAGCCACTTTGAGGACCACAACTGTCGATGCCACTACTACGGATCCTGCCACCACCGAGGACGCACGCTTCTGAGCCCTCACAGATCTGGGCGGCACCACCACTAAACTCTTGCTGCCGCCTCTCCTGCCAGTAGATCTAGAATGGAGAGATAAGAAGAGGAAGGGGCATATTGTCGCCCACACGTGAGAGGGAAAGGGAAGAAGAGGGAGAGGTACAATAGAGGGTAGCGGGGAGCTCGCCTGCCGTTGTCGAGGTGGGGCGGGAGAGCCCCTGCGCCCTTGCCAGAGGGGGTAGGAGCCCTTGCACCATTGACTGGAGGGGGCCGTCTTGCGCCATTGCTTGGTGGGGGCTCTGCTCGCGCCATTGCATAAAGATGTGGGTCTGTAGAAAGGACGCGAGGTGGGGTGGTGGTCGAGAGGAGTCGCGTGCTAAGGCTGGGAATGGGATAAGGAGAGATAAAGGGAGAGGGAGAGGGAGACAAAGCCCAAATGAATGAAAATTTTGGGTCCGAGCCTTCTTTTCACAACCTGGTTGTTTTTTGAGCTGGCGTATAATGATTTTTCATCGCTAGTTTGTTACGACCTAGGGTGCAAATGCCATAAGAAAAAACCATTTATGTTGTAGTGTTTCATTGAAAATTAGTTAGTAGTTAGTTTTGTGTTAAAAAATTTGACAAGAGTAAGTACTTCAAATGATGGGTTAATAAGTGAATTAGCAGGATGCACTAGTGAATAAAGTACCCTAACAAGCATTCCGTAACAAGGAGAGGATGAATCATGGGATATCGAAGCGTTGCAATACGTGTTTCATTCTTTATTAATCACATACATTATTGTGCTTGTGCATGACTACCTTGTCCTTATATGGCAGCGACAACTGTGACACGTCGATCTACGACCTCCACAGGACCTGTCCACGCTGTGACTACGAGCTCGGCATCGCCTGCTGCAGGAGCTCCGTGAAGGAAACGGTAGCAACCCGGTTTTCGTGTAACCAAAATACGAGATTTTTAAAAAATTTCTGCAATGTGTGAATCATGTAGTCGCTAGGTCAAACCTGAGTCAAACCTAGGAGGATTTACCACTAAACCGTTGCATCCATCTAGATTTGATTGTAGGTGTATGCCTTGTACTTGAGTCGGCTCTGGTTATGAGTTCGTTTGGAGTGCACAAAGCCATAGCAAGAATCCCCTCATTGAATCTATCTCGAATCCGCAGCAAATTCATATCAAATTCCTTTTAAATCACCTCTCAATTCCTTTGAAATTCCTCTCCATTCTCATTTGAATTCATCTCATTTTCCTTGAGACATAATTCACAAGGGGGGAAAATCCTTTTTCCTGTTCTACTCACATCCAGCCCACTCCTTTCTCTCCCTTCCCGCTGGCCCATCCGGCGTCTCAGGCCCAGCCAGCCCTCTTCCTTCCCCACCAGCCCGTCCCTCCTCTTGGCCTGATCCGCGAAGGCCTGCTCGCCTTCCCACCTGGACCGGCCAGCCCAGCTCACCCCCGCCCTTCTCTTCCACTGCGCGGCCTAGCAACCACCTCCGCCCATTGCTTGCGATCGGTAGCGCCAGAGACCCTTTCGGCGCCAGCGTTTCCCATAGGCCCGCCCATTTCAGACTGGCGGCGCTTCTAACACCAAAAACCTAAGCGCACCCCTACGTTCCTAGGCGCCGCCACCGCTGCCCGATGTGGAGACGCGCCCCATGCCTCGGCATCGTACATGCACGCCCGGGATCCACACCGCGTGTCCCGTCCGTGGCACGGACGACGAGGATCACCGGAGCCCCTAGAGCCCTAGACCACGCGCGCCTATAAGAACACCAATCGCCGCTCCCGTTCTTGTTTCCTAGCCACCGCCGCCACTCTCTTCCCCATCTTCTTGCCCTCGCTCATCCAGCAGCGAGCGCGCCACTGCCTTGCCACTTTCCGTGGTCGCCGAGCCACGCCACCACCGCTGTGTCTCGCGCCCTTCGCCTCTCGCCATGCCACGACATCGACCGCGTGCACAGCGCTCTCTGTCGGCGCATCCACGATGACCACCGTGACCTCGCCTTGACGCCACCTCGTGCCGTGGGCGCGACGTTCTCCTCGCCGAGCCCGACGTCGACCACGCCGTGCTCTGCTCCTAGCTCGTCGCGGTCGCATCCGCCCCGTCCACCACCACCACGAGATCCGCTTCATCCTCACGGCATCCACCCCGCCGCCTCTGCTATCCACGCTGAGCAGAGGACCACCGACGCCATGCTCCGACCTCGCCCTCTCGACGACGCGCCTTTGCACTGCACCGTGACCACCGCAGCGATCGAAATCGCCCTGGCCTCGCCCTGCTACTGTCCGCACCACGCCGAGCCTCGTCGTGCCTCTGCCGGATGCCACCGTGGCGTCGAGGGTCACACTAACGCGGGCATGGCCATCCTCGAGCAGCGTCCGAGCCTTCCCCGTGATGCCGAGCTCCACCTCACCGCCTAGCTGCTCTCAATCGAACATGCCCGACGTCCTCGACCTCCTCTTCACCGAGCACACCTTGCTCTGCCTTGTCTTCACGGCCACCACGTCAAAGCCGGTCGGCACTCCTTCCCGGTGGTGGAACCTCATTGAATCAGACCCCATCACCGACGTCAGGCACCCTCACCACGCCGTCTCCCTCCCGCGACCCTCTTTCCTCGAGTCACCGTGCTAGCTGAGCCACTTCACCGACATCAGAGCCATGCCACGATGCCACCACCTTGCCCCGCACGCCATCGAGCTGAACCATGATCACGGCGTCCCTGTTTGCGTCCAAGCTGACGCCTTCCGGGCTGCCGACCTCGCCATGGCCGAGCAGCCGGCTTCGCCTCCGCCACGATCGCGACCAGCTGCATCCCTCCACCACCTTGCGCCTTCTACTCCATCAAGACGATGCCTTTCAGGCCTCGGCAGTGACGCAGTCACTCCAGCGACCCAGCGCCTCGCCGATGTCTCACCTCTCTCACCATCGCAGGGATGCACCTCCTCCACCTCCCTTCTGCGATGGCCGTGGCCATGTCTTGCCGCTCCTCTAGACATCGGGAACGCAAGCAGCCACGACGACTTCCTCTGCGGACCTATCTTTGTCTCTGCTGAACTGCTGCTACCAAGCCTCCACCTTGCCGAACCCTGCAGCAACCAGCAGCCTTCCTCATCACCTTCATCGTCGACCTATCACCATCTCACATCTCGGTGAGCCACCGTGAACCAAAGCCGCTGCCTTTCTTCCTTCTTGTCGCGTTCCTGCCTGAGTTCGGCCTTTGTGTCGTTGTTCTTTACCGTCGTATGGAAGCGACCCCGCCGCACCATCCGCCAGGGCTGAACGACGCTGTCGGACCTCGCCGACCCGTCCCGGACAGCAGCAGCCACCGCCTGGTTGTCCGCTGCCACCTCTAGCTGGTAGCAGCCAACTTCTAGCCGCCTGCTGCTGCGTCCAGCTAGCCTCTGGCCAGCAGCAAGCAGCAGTCGGCTGAGGGTGTCTACAACAGGCCAGCAGCTAGCCACAACTTGCCCGGACGCGCCTCAGTGGCCCTTCATCGTCAAGGTCGAACTTTTGAACCCCGTCGACGCCAACCTCGACGTCGATAAAGCCCTTGCTTTTCATTTCTTTTCATTCCTTACTTGCTCCTATACATGATTATCTATCTATACCTATGCGTGTGCCGTGCCTTCGTACCGGTCTATCTCCCTCTTTTTGTCATCTATATCTATGACTGTGCCGTGCCTTCGCCGCCGGTCTATCTTGTGATGCTATGGATATGTGCAACTCCGTCTAGTCATCGTAGTGTCGGTTTAGCTCTTGTTCTTGTGTTGTTCGTGTTGTCGGTTGTTTTTGTGTGGTGTTGTCTGTCTGTGGACCGAGCCTTTGAGCCGGTCGATGGTTCATGCCTTGTTCGAATGTTTCGGTCATGGGTTCGTCTCGCCATGGCTGTGATGCCAAGAGTAACCTGAACCCTCGCTCTTAGTTGACTTTCTAGTATCATGATCATCGGCCCCTTCTATGGCTCTAGGACGTGGCCACCATGAGCTCGACATCGGTGTGCTTCCTACCTGCACATGACGAGCCCATCATGGCCTAGTCTATAGAAAACGAACTAGGGGACGACCATCATGGAACTTATGGAAGCCAACTCGTGTAGGTATAGCCTGTGGCCGCGAGTTTGCCTCGCCATGACCATCGGGCTTTACCTCTTTTGCTCGCTTGTTTATCCTAACCACCTCGTATGCTTGTACCACTTTGACCATGGCGTTCCTTCGGATCTAGTAGTGACAACCGCATCGCTACGGACCTTAGGGATAGCCTTGTACTAATTTAGTTGCACGGTCGTGGTGCCCTATGAGTGGGTTTAGATCGTGGGATCATGTCTCCTTTCTTCCAACCTTTGTTCGTTCCATGATGAGTTGGTCGAAGGAGTGCAGATTCCATTCTTCTCTCCTTAATTGTTCTCAATCCTCGTCGATCCAGTAAGATGTGGATTGAGCCCTTCGCTTGTTTGGTGTTTACTGCTCTCTTGATTCCATTCCTTTGATTCCCGTCATTTGCTATGGCGAGTGGATCAAAGGAAGCTGAATCTCGTGTCCCCCTCTTTTTGGTTCTGTCGTGCTTAAGCCCTTGTATGCTTGTACCTATTTAGATTGTACCATTTCTTTGGTTCTTGCGGTGACAACCGCACCTCTAAGAACCCTAGGGATGTCTTAGTGCATTTAGTGCACCTAGGTCATGGTATCCTACAAGTAGTTGGGCACTCATGTTCTCTTTTGTGTCGCTCCTTTCGATGCCCCATCTCTTGCCATGGAGTGTGGATTGGAAGAAGTAGACCACCTCCCTTCTCTTCTCTCCCCCGTTCCACCCTCTCTTGATTCTCATCAATTATAATGGCATATGGATTGAGAGAGAGACCAGAACTGCTTCCTTTCCCCCT